AAAGAACATTGTTATACATGTTCTGTTAGAATATTTGTCTCTATGAAAAAATTTATGTCCATCAAATGTCAAAGACTGCTGACATTTTCATAACTATTTATTTGATCTGCAATTGCCATTGAAAATACAAATTAAATATATTTTCTTGAGTAAGTCACCAATAGCCACTGATATTTCCTCATTCATAAGATTTAGTAAAAGACAGGAAAAGAATGTAAATGAATGTTATGCTTTAACTATAAGGGAATTCCCTTCCTCAATATTCCTTTTTCAAATAAATTTGAAGGAACATGCATTTGTTAAATACAAATTTTTTAAACTATTTTAAAATTATAGAGCTTAGTTTAATCCTGTGTGAATTAGACGATTGCTTTAGGTGTCCTCATAAACAACAATGATGCATGGTAAGGAAGACATCTAAAATGCTTATTTGTCTTTACTGCTCTTATGGTTGCTTTCATGACTTTTAGTATTCGCAGTGTCTTTGCTGCATTTTACTGTACAACAGTAGTTTGAGTGTGTAAGCTCCTTGAAAACATAGTTGTTGTTATTTTTCTTTTCTCTAAGTGCTGGATGCCCATTGCCTAAATTGGTGCCTGATACATACTAATTACTCAGTAAAGGTTATCAAATGAATTCTGGTTTATTAAATCTGAGAGTCTTGGGATATCTGGTCTTCATGAGATTTTGAAGACTAAAAAAGATGAATTAGTCCTTTGGGTATAGACCAAGGAGTGGGATAGCTGGGTCAAATGGTGGTTCCCAAATGATTTAAAAACAGCATACTACAGGGACACAGCCACATCAAAGTTTATAGAGCACAATTCACAATAGCTAAACTGTGGAGCCAACCTAGATGCCCATCAGTAGATGAATGGATAAAGGAAACATGGTATATATACACAATGGAATATTATTCAACATTAAAAGAGAATAAAATCATGGCATTTGCAAGTGAATGGATGAAGCTGGAGAATATAATACTAAGTGAAATTAGCCAATCCCAAAACATCAAATGCTGAATGGTTTCTCTGATTTAAGGATGCTGATCCATAATATGCTGGGAGGCCAGTGGGGGGAAGATTAAATGAACTCTAGATAGGGGAAAGGGGAAAAGGGAAAGGAGGGGCATAGGGGTAGGAAAGATGGTGGAATGCAATGGTCATCATTACCCTAAGTACATGTAAGAAGACAAGAAGGATGTGACTCTACTGTGCATACGGAAATATGAAAAATTGTGCTCTATATGTGTAATATGGATTGTAATGCATTCTGTTGTCATTTATAATAAATTAAAAACATTTTAAAAAGGATAAAAAACCTCGAATCTCAAAAAAGATGAATGAAAGTCAAGTATTAGTACTTGTTTATGAATATCATCTTTTAAAAATATCAACTTAGTACACATTTTATCTGTGACAATGTATTTCCAAATGTATTTGAGCTTGCTTATCTAATGTTTAGAAAATGGAGTTTATTTAAGTGTTACATGCTTAATTACTTTTGATTATTTACTATGGGGAGTGCCAGGTACTATACTAATAACATGATAAGACATCTTATTTAATTTTTAGTACTTTGAGAAATATTCTCTTATCTTTTTAAAGATGAGATAATTAAAAAATAAAATCAATCAAAAAATAAAGAAGATGAGATAATTGAGGTTAAATTATTTGTGCTAGGTGACACATGTAGTAAATGGCAAATTGAGGATTCTCCAAAGCTGCTCCTTGCTACAGTCTTATACATAAAAGAAATAAGCTACAAGAGTAATAGATGAGTTTTGGTGAAATAATAAATCCTTAGTGAGATAAGCCTCTGAGGACCAAGTATGATTTTTTTTAACCTAGCTAACCTTTTCAGTTGGAAAAAAAAGTTTGTAAGTTCTGCTTTATTGTGCATTACATGATAAAGTGGTATTCTCACATGTGAAAAAAAAGCATTCAAGGGTTTTGAGCAAAGTAATGATAGAATTTGCTTTCTTTTAAACTGCTAATTTGGCAGACAAAATATAGGGTAGAGACAGAATAACAAAGAAGGCTTTGCAATAGTTGAAGCAAGAGATGATGATAGTTTGGGCTTTATTCCATAGGCTTCTTTGACACTTTTTCCTAGAAATGGCAAGAAGTGTTGAATTTGGAATGAATTGTGAAAGTGGGGGCAACACTATTTTCTGAATGATTGGATTATGGGGAGGGAGGAAAGAAGAAAGGGAAGAGATGGGAGACAAGGATAATTCCAAGGTTTTGACCTAAACAACTGGAAAAATCACATTGATGTTTCCTGAAATAGCAGAGAGAACCCGTTCTGGGATAGATATGAAGACAGACCAAAGTTTATGTGGCCATTTTAAGGTTTAGACTTCAAGGTAAAGACCATGAAACTAACAAATAAAAATGGGTGTATATCACCCTGGATATAAATGTGAGAATCATCCATATAGACTTGATAAATTACAGCCATGAGATTGGGTGAGAATATGAGGGAAGAGTGATTATAGAGAAAAGCCTTAAGTGGAATTCTGAGACTCCAGAGAATTAGGAAGGGAATAGCCACAGGGACTGAGGAAGAGGAGCCAGTGAAGTGGGAGAAGCAAGAGTGGTATCCATTGAAGACATGTGAAGGTATGAACAAAAAGGAGGAAGTAGTCAGATGTGACCAACTTTTCAGATAGAGTATGTCAAATAAAATTGAGAAATGGCTATAGAATTAGGCAATGGGGAAATCCATTGATAACCTTGACAAAAGCATGATCAGAGAATATCTGCTTTCTTAAAACAAGAAAGTGTGAAACCATTCACTTAAAAAAGTCTCAGTTCTTCTCTAAATTTTTAATTCTAAGATAAGTGAAGTATCTTGCAGTTTTAATAAAAATGTAAGCATATTATCCTGTACTATTARATCTAGATATTTTAATTATATAAATAATTTTAACTCCTTTATTTGTCAACATTTTATTATCTGAATGCCAGGAAAGCTTTAATATTATTCTTCTTCATGTTTGTTGTGTCCTTGGTTTTCAGAGGGCAAAAAGGGCCTGTGTAGACAGACCCAGGTTTCAGGCCAAACTTCACTAATTATTAGTTGTACCATTGTTTGCAAGGAATTGTATTTCTTCTAATCTATTTCCTTGTTGGAACAGGTAATAACTATTTTAAAACATAGTAGATACAATGAGAACATATGTGAAGTTTCTAATGAAATATTTAGCAAATAATAAAATAATATAGTAAATATGAGCTGAGATTATGAGTCACAGAGACCTAAGTTCCACCCCAGAGCTTACATATACTATATGTGAAAATCAGGGGAACCTTCTTGACTCTCTTAAACCTTTGTTAGCTTATCTCTAAAATTGATGTGATCAAATTACCTACCCTATATGGTAACTAGAATTAAATTAGATATTTCATRCAAAGTTCTTAGACAAAATGAGTGCTCCATAAATGGTAGCTGCTATTATTATTTATACTTATGGGTCTATTCATTATCCTTGCTATTATAGTTATTCCAAGAATAAAACCTTAGTCTTAGTTCTTAAACTCTGAGCTTCTAATCATACTTGATATCAAGTATAATTTATAGTGTTTGTATTTCTTTTGTTGCATGTTTGTTTTTCTTAATAATTTTATTGTTGTCTTCCATTAGTAATATTAAAAATCTTACATGGTTAGTTAGCAGCTAGTTTGTCTTTTTTAAGTTACATTGGTCATCACTTGGAAAATCTAAATGGATAGAGTCAGAAGAAGAAATATGTATGATAGGATTCTTTAGAAGTTACATGAGTGAATCAGAAATGGCTCTTAGCCATTTTGCCTAAAACTGTGCTTAAAAATATCTGAACACATCTACAAAGGAGGAAACTGATTTAATTGTTGGAAAAATTAAAAATGAAAACCAAGGATGGTTTCAATCAATAAACAAACAATAGATTTTACATAAAAATAATGAGATAGCTTTGGTGACAAAACTCAGACTTTTTCCTTCAAAAGACCACAGGAATCATCTCAGTTCTTGATTTAATTGATGAAAGAATACAGAATTTATGAGTGATTTGTTGTCTTGTCCAGGGTTAAGTGCTGGAAGAATAATCTTCTGACTCCAGTTTAAATACTCTTCTCATTAAAACACACTTAGTTCCAGTCAGTTATTGTTATAAATAAAATGAAGGAAAATATTGAGTAAAAGAAATGTTGAAATGACACAGTGAGGCAGTGCAAGTGATGTAAAACTTGAGGATATTGATTTATGTTGTAAGGTGTTCTATTTTTCTCCAGTAATGTTTTATAAGTTGAAAACCTAGAAAAGGACTTTTGTTTTAAAATAATTTTGTTTAAAACTATAATTAAAGCAACTAATTATCATTGGAAAAATTTAATGGCAGAAATATTTGGGGAATTAGTTTAAAAGCAAAAAATTCTAAATGGAGATTTCTGTGTGTCAGATTTTCTGTAATTAAGTGGTATTAAATACATATATGTAAAATTCTTCCTAAGTGTAGAACTAAATTATGTATTTTGAAATAGGAAAAATTCAGTTTCAATAATTGTACTTTGAAAAAAATGAAATGCTATCTTGAAATATGTGCATTTTATGAAGCTAACTCCTTATTGTAAAAACTTTAGTAAACTGGAAAAGAGTAATTTGACAATTTTTGAAACTTATTTAAATGATGAAAAATCAGCAGTTTTATTTACTATAACTTGTAATCTTATGTCATCAAGTAAATTTGTGTCTGTGTTTGTGATAAATCTTTTAACAACTTTACATTTATATATAAGTTTACTCTTTGTTAAATTTCTGTCTACGGTTTTTAGTAATATCATCAAGCAACATTTTCATCTATTTCAAGTTAACTAAGAATTATTTTATTCAAAAGAATTATAAATAAGAACTTCATTAGTGGGTGTTTATATTGTTTATCTTCATGACATGAAACTCTAAAGTAATTATGTCTTTTTCCCAGATTGTTAATTTTGTTTCTTTTTCTTGTTTCATAGAGCTACATTCATGGGAGCAGCCAGGCTCAATTCGTGGCGGAGTCACACATTATTCTGGTACTGAGTATCCTTTAATACAACTGATGAATTAAGTTGGTTTTATTTCTGGCAGTAAATATCAAGACTTTTAAAAGATATTAAATTTTAAACTTTATGATTAGCTTTCTAATTCCTTTGCTAATTTCCTATTACAGTGTAATTTTATTGTTATGCTGAATCATTAAAAAACTAATTTTCTTTTTTCTTCTTCTTTTTTCAACTGACTTGAATCAAAAGTATTGCTTTTATTCTGCCTTGAATACTACTGGCTAGATATTTAGTTTGTTGATGTGGTTTTCACTGCAGGATCCCTGTGACATAAATAGCATAAAAAATAAGCAGTTATCTTCTATGTTCTGTATGCATTAAGTGAAATAGCACACATAAAACATTTAGTACTCATAAAAGACTATTTGGTTTAATTTCCTTTTTTTCTTTCATCTTTTTCATTCAGAATTTTACTAGGTTGCAGATAGTATGCATAAATACATATTTGTTGTTTTTTTCTTTAGCATCAAACAAGGTATAGATGACCAGAAGAATATTCCATATATTTGTAAGAAATGTAGCCTGAAATATCAATCAGTGTTACTTTTTAAAAAATTTTTTTAGTTGTTGATGGACTTTTATTTATTTGTTTATATGCAGTGCTGAGAAATGAACCCAGTGCCTCACACATGCTAGGCAAGTGCTCTACCACTGAGCCACAAACCTAGCCCAATCGCAGTATTACTGAAGTATTCGAAATGTTTAAGTTTTTCCAGAGGAAGATTTATTGAACCCTTCTAATCATGTACTTTACAGGATAATGAAAAAATACTGTTTTAAGACTGAACTTTAGAAATTAAGTTTGAGGAGATTCTAAATGTCCAGTTTATCCTCTGGAAGCTAAATGTTGTGTTTCTGAAATTCATCTAGAAAACATTATCATCTTTTTCCTCTTTGTAATTTCTCAAAATTTTAATTTTTCCCATCTTAATTTCCATACTTGGATGCACACAGAGAATTAGGTATATCTACAGCTAATGCCTTGTTTGAATTACCTGTGCACATAGGATATCAAAATTGAGAAACTTCCATGATGAAACTAAAAAGAACAAACCTAAAATTCATATGAAAGCAGAGGAGACAATGAATAGCCAGCCAAAACAATCCTGATCAAAAGGAGTGAGGCTAGAGGCATCATAATACCTGATTTCAAACAGTACTTAAAACAGAATGGTAATGGCATAAAAACAGAAGTTTATTCCAATGGAATAGAGAGCATAGAAATAAACCTCATACAGCTATGGGTATATTATTCTTAACAGAGGTACCAAAAACATACACTGGCAAAAAGTCAGCTGTATATAGGGAATTGAAACTAGATCCCTCTCACAAAAACAACTCCAAATGGATCAAACACCTAAAATGTAAGTCCCAGAACTTTGAAACTGCTCAAAGAAAACAGGAAAAATCCTTAAAGACATAAGCAAGACAACAGCTTTCTGAATATGACTTTAATAGCTAACTAAGTGTAGTGGCTAATGCCTCTAATCCCAGCAACTCAGGAGGCTGAAGCAGGACGATCACAAATTTAGGATCAGCCTCAGGAAATTAGCAAGGCCATAAGGAACACCAAAAAAAGTAATAATCCTATCAATAATTGAGCAAATGAACTGAACAGACACTCTCAAAAGAAAAAAGTACAAATGACCTTTAAATATATGGAAAAAAATACTTGATTTATTTAGCTATCAGGAAAATACAAAACTATATTGAGATTCTTGCTATCATCAAGAATATACAAAATAATAAGACTGGTGAGAATAAAGGGGAAAAGAAACCCCTGTGCATGGTGTGAATGTAAATTAGTATAGTCACTATGTAAATCAACATGGTGGTTCCAAAAATAACTAGAACTACCATATGATCTAGCTATTCTACTACTGGCTATCTGCCCAAAAGAATTAAAGTCAGAATACTCTATAGAGATAACTGTATAATTCAAAATGTCAAGTCATGGACTCACCCTAGGTGCCTGTCAGTATATGCACAATAGAGTAATATTCAGAACGAAATGGCGTGTGTTCCCTCATTTGGAATCTAAGGGAAAGAAAAAGTCAACATGAAATAACAGGGAGAAGAGAAGGGCATTAGGAGGATCACAGTTAGGGGAGTAGATATGATATTTGCATATACTAATATTTGTATTATATTTCATTAGTATATTTGCATATACTAATGAAATACATTGTTCTGTGTAATTAAAAGGCATTGATTTAAGAGAAAAAAAAGAGAGAGAGAATTGTTCCACGGTAGAGGAGGCTAAAGACACATGACAACTTAATGGAATATGTTATTCTGGTCTAGATTCTATAATAGAAATTTAAAATAAAAATAAAGTCACAGGGGCTACRGCTGTGGCTCAGCAGTAGAGCACTCACTTAGCACATGCCAGGCACTGGGTTAAATCCTCAGCACCACATAAATATAAATTTTAAAAAAGGTATATAAAAAAAGCTTTAAAATATAAAGTCGCAGAGGATACTATTGGATAAACTGACAAAAATCGAATGTGTATGAAATATTAGTAAAAGGTTTTATGCCAATGTTAAATTTACTGAACATGATAAATAAGTACATAAAGTAATTTTCCCAATATACAATGGAATGTTCTCTAAAAAAAGAGAAAAAAACTGTGATGATGAGTATTTTTTTGCTTTAGTTTTTCCGTAGATTAGAATTGGAAATATCTACATTTGAATAGATATTTCTCATATTTTGTAATCTTGTTTAAACAGTACTATATTTCTAGACTCCAACTTTAATATGGTAAAAGTTGGTGTTTTTTGTGTATAAGAGGAGCCTTAAGTGAGAAAATGAAATATATATGAACATGTCAGTTTTCCTCTTTATTAAATAATAAAGGCATAGCCTTATTTAGCCTTTATTTTTTTTAAAATTTTGTCTATGAAAATACATTTGTGCTAAAACAAATGGTAAGAAATACCAAGTATTTGTTGCAGGTAAATTGATTTATGCTAAAACAAATGGTAAGAAACACCAAGTATTTGTTGAGGTTAAATTGTTTTAAACTCTTATTTATGTATATATTATTGTTTCATTTTTTTCATGTTCCCTAATTTGTTTCAGTCCATGGACTATATTTTATCCAAAGTAGCGAGTCTACTAAAACACATCAGGAATACCTAGCAATGAAAAGCTGTGTTGAGACTATTATTCCATTGTGTGGCAGGAATTCGCCAAGGTTTCATTTCACAGATCATTGACATCAAGCTGAGATTTAGGATGCAAAGACATTTCACAAGCAGTATGAAGTGTTCAATATATATATTTAGCAGGAATACAGAAAAGAATTAAAAGTCCCAGTTTTCTATATGCCAGCGGTAATTATTTGCTTTATTTCTCCTGTGTATTTTTATTTTAGAGAGATAATAGATATATAAAGAGAAAGAAAAAAATGTTTAAAAAACGCCATTTTATGGTAATTTTTTATTTTAATTTCACTTGAGAAAGTCTACAGGTATTTTTGAACTTAGCACATTTTAAAAATTTTACATGTATATTTTATCTGTTAGTGCAAAAAAAGTAAATACCAGATGGTTAGTTTGTGTTTATCTGTACAGAATGTTTCTGCCTTTTGGTTTCCTCCTTCTAATTTGGTAAGTCAGATCATTAGATGCAGTTGCTGTATACAAAGTTTTGTTGTAAAAACCCAAGGGAAAAGAGATGAAGTTTTTTGGTGTCATTGGTTAGAAATTCATATTTAATCTCAGTAAGATTTTTCTTTTTATCAGTAGTGTTTTTTTCTTATTGTGTTGTTTTTATCCTTTTTAAATAATAATTCTAAGTATTGTATAAAAGAAAATTATGACAAAAGAATAATGAAGTATTGCAGGAGGCAGCTATAGAAGAGCAGCTTGCTGCCTAGAGAAGTTTGACAAACTTTTCAGCTCTGTTTTGAAGTGCAAAAAGGAGACTCACAAAGGAGTGCAATCAGTGCAGAAGTACATATTGAAATTTAGGTGCCTTATTTATTCATTCATTCATTTATGGTACTGGGGATTGAACCCAAGGGTGCTGAAACCACTGAGTCACATCCCCAGCTCTTTTTAGTGTTTTCTTTAGAGAAAGGGTCTCACTGAGTTGCATAGTGGCTTTGAACTCGAGATCCTTCTGTCTCAGCCTCCTGAGCTGCTGGGATCACAGGTGTGCACAACCAAGCCCAGCCCCTTATTAATTCTATAGAATGTATTGTAAGATTGTAACCAGAGTGCCCTGTTAAATTTTGATGTGGAAAGGTAAATAGTGTCACATCTTTTTTCTGTTCAAGCAGTCAATCACGAAGGTTCGTTCTAGTAATAAATTGAGGAGACAGTTCAAAAAAGAGAGCAGAGAAATTGGGAGGTACTAACAATTGACTGTAGAGGAGAAACTTAAATAATGATGAGTGACTCAATTACTCATTGAAAGGAAGAAACATCAAAACTTGATGGTATGTGTTACAAGTGAGGTTCATAAATAGGAATAACATGACTCAGGAATTCAGAAACGTATTGGATGATAGCTTTACATTAACAATCTTAAGAAATACAGGAGGAAAATAAGGCATGAAGAGAAATAAGCCTAACAAATTCTTAAGTTTAATAGGCTTCATATTTGATGGATGAAAAGGGTTTACTTTGTTTAGAGTGCTTAATATCATAACGTCAATCAGTTGCATAGTGAAGAACTTAAATTTTTCAACCCATTTTTTGTACTCATATTTTCCCAGTAGGTCAAAATTTTTGTGGTGAACAGGCCAGTGGTAGTCTTTCAAGATTACAGTGTAAGTACATTTGTTAGGCGTTTCTAAAAGATTGTTTCCCTAAAGATATAGTGGATATGTTTGTATTTGTTTAGTTGGTCTGTCATATTACTGTGCAAAGTACTATACCTTTTTGCATTACAAAATGAACAGTTTTTTTTTGTAGAGCATAAGTATGTAAATATAAATACCTACATGTGAGCACCTGCTAGCCA